TACCTCTGTGGATGGCAGGAGTTCCCCTCTATTAACAACATTCTTAACAAACACTTTTGATGATCCTTTCACACTAACTGTTCTTCTTAGAAGTCTCTTCATTCAATTTTACTGCTTCTCATTTTAGAGAGCTCCTTGAGCTTTCTTACAGCCCCATTCATGGACTTTTATTATATTTCAGTCCCTTATGGACTCATTTATTGATCTGCTGCACCTCCAAGTGGGCTATTAACTATGCAGTTAGTTATCACATGTGAAACACCAGTGGGAAATGTTAAATGTAGCCCCCTCCATTAAACTCAGTGTGTTCTTCTTTTCCCATCAGAAACAAATGGAAACAAAGAAGATGTCTGTGAGGTACAGCAAAGGGGGCCAGATAAATGCAAGAGTGGGAGGAACATGCTACTGGCTCTCCTGGAAATAACTTTCCAATGGCTCCTTTTCTGTCACTTGAAGCCCAAGGACTAATGCACAACACAAATGTCTTTACTCAGGCAGCATTCCATGGTCACACACTGTCAGAAGTGTTCAACACAGCATGTTCTTACCAGTGGGCACACATCCATGTACACGGTCACGTCCAATTACCAGTGACAAGCCACACCACTGGGACAAGACATCAGGCCTCTCGGCTTTCTTCATGAATCACAGCATCATAGAATCATAGAATTGTTTGAGTTGAAAGAGATCCTTAAAGACCATCTTCCTTTTCAGTGAAAGGGACACTCACAGCTCCATCAGGTGCTCAGAGCCCTGTCTAGCCTGACCTTAGCTGTCTCCAGGGATGGGGCATCCACCACCCCTCTGGGCAACCTGTGCCAGTGTCTTATTACCCTTATTCTGAAAAACCTCTTCCTTATATCCAGTCTAAATCTCCCCTCTTTTAGTTGGAAACCATTTCCTCCTTTCCTGTCACAACAGACCCTTCTAAAGAGTCTGTTCCTGTCCTTCCTATTGCCCCCTTTACATACTGTAAGGCCACTCTTATGTCTCCAAGTGTCTCCAAGGAGCCTTCAGTTCTCCAGAACACAGTCTCAGGAGGCTTCAGGAGCTGAGACGGGCAGAAAAACAGCAGGTACTGTGAGCACTGATAAAACCAAAGAAGGCAGCAACACTACATTGAATATGGGTTTGTAATTTAATTTTAAAACTCATCTCATTCCATGTCTGCTGCCTTTAGCTAATTTTCTTCCCAAGATAACTCTGCCGTTGCTAAGCCTTCCAGGAGAGAAACTCATGTTCGTAAGGGCCATTACTGTTGTCACAGCGGGACTCCAGCTGAAAACTAATGTGATGTGAAAGCTGGGTCTGGAGGACACCCCGGTGCACACTGCTATGCCCCTGACAGCTCAGACAGAGCACATTTGGTGGAGCTCTGTGCTGAAAATAAGGGTTGCAATTGTGCTGGTGAGGTGGGTGGTGGGAGATGGGCTGTTCCTATGGCATGGGGGAGGGATGAGGGCGAGGGGGCTGAGGAGGAGGGCTGCCTTCACTTTGCTCCCCAGGCGCCTAATTGCAGCAGCATACATAGTGATAAGCTGCCGAACTGCCTTTCATCAGCCAAGAAACCCAGCATGTGAAAAAATTCGGTATGTCATTGTCTGCCCACATAGCTTGCTGCCTGACCTGCCGGCGTGCACACAGGACCCAGACATAAAAGCAAATCCACAGCCAGCATGGATGCAGCGAGAGCCCCCACAGCACTGCGCTGAGAGAGGAGCTCAGGAATTCAGGTGATGAAAATCAGTTCCCTTCTGACATGCTGCATGCTTCACTTCTCCCTCCTTTGGGCTGCAGCTCGCGTGACATGGTGCTCCCAGCTGCACATGGGTGGCTCGGCTGCGAGGAGCACATGTATTGGAGGTCATGAGCATCACGTGTGTTTTAGTTTCCAGATCCAACTCTTGAACATAGAGCATTTACAGGAAACCTGTAGTTTGCTTATTTATTTATCCATCTCTTCCTGTGACTTCCAAGCAACGCTTTGGTTGTCTTTATGCTAATCTGAGCGCTGCTGAATAGAGAGGCCTTTTTCCCCCCATTCTGTCCTGTGAGAGGTCATCTTTATTCAAGAGCTATGAATGATGTGTGCGGGGCACTAATCGCACACAAAGAGCCACGTCCGGAGCCAGCCAAGCATACAGCTGTCCTTTTGTTCACAGGGATGGAGATGGAACCTAAAAAGCGCTCCTGACCCAGGGACAATAGCAGTGGCTTGTGAAACGCCTGAGATTTGGCAGGGCCTCTCCTTCCTGGTGCTAAAGGGCCTTTATTAAGCATAAATCACATCAGCTGCCACCGCAGCCCTTTCTCAGCTCATAAAAGATTCCCCTTTGCTGCCTAAGTGACATGATGGAAAGGGATCGCTCTGAAATACCCTGAAGACCGAAGCAAGGGACCAGGTTAGAACAAATGGCACTTCTGGCTGTTTAATAGTAGCACTTTACTGTCACCGTTACGAAAGTGTTTGCAGCTGGGCTCATTTTTTAAGCTGGGTAGATTCTGTGCTGGCTGGAAATGTCAGGAAGCCACCAGGAAGGTTTGATACCTGTGAGTTATGAACGCAGAGCCCAAAAAGCTCCGGGATAAACATGTTGCCAGCGCTGATATCACTGAAAAACTCCGATGCCTCCGGCACCGAGAAAATAAATCAGCGTAGAGCATCTCTGCAAAGAGCATCTCTGTTCAGGGAGTAATTATCAGCCTCCCCTGCTCGGTGATGTAAGATCAGATAATCACATTTCCCCAGGAAGTAAATATTCTTCTTTCCCTTGGAAATAAAAGGGCAGCCTGAGCATAAGGAACAGAATTGCCAACGGAAAATGCTTTGCTTCACATGGTGCTGTTGGCAAATCCTGCCCCTCGTTACCCAGCTGGTGCTTCTGTGCAAGAGGAGGCCCTGAGATGTGACCAGGAGCATGGAACGTGGCATCCACAGCAGCTCTGGGGAGGACATGGATGTGTCCTCCCAGCACATCAAGCTGGCCAGGAATGACTCAAAGGAACCCCCCAGGCTATAACTCTCTGCATACATTTTCTGCTTCTCATACAGAAATGTATCAGCAAAAGCTGGCTCAGATGCCTTGCCCATCCCTCCTCCACCTGCTCATGTTAACCTCTGTGGACATATCCAATTTTACAGCTGTCAGGACAGTTGTCACAGGGAATGTGATTCTCTCCCACCATCACCCCTGCCAGCAGGCTGCTGTCTGTGTTCCAGTGCCTCGCAGATCTCTTGGGCTGGATGCACCAAGACTGTGCTGCAATTAGCTCAGTGCATTTGTTCTACCTGCTGGAACAGGTAATTCAGTAGCTGGCACTAATCCCCAAATTCAGCATCCATGCAACACTCAGTGACACTTCTGATCATCACCTCACAGACTCTGTGAAAGCACATTAGTGGCTCTCACAGGCAAGCCTGTCACTGGATAACAAAGAGTAATTTTTCATACTCCCAACATATCCTGCAGCTTTTGACAAGCATCCTGCTGCTCTCCCAAGGATTCCTATGTAGCTGAGAGCATGAGCCGGTGTCTCACAGCACAGCTCCTGTGCAAAATGAAGCATCACTGAGACCACCGTCTTGGGCTGTGGTTGTGCCTTCCCTACAGGACTCCAGGGTCAGCTCCCAGTGCTGATAAACACACAGGCTTCTAGTTCTGCTTTCACTGTCTGTTTGTAGAAAGCTGAGTTGACTGTTGAGATTTTCCAGATTTATGTTGTATTTCTGCATCCTATTAAACTAATTTTGAAATAATTTTAGGGGCTGTATAACCAAGATGTTATAATTGCAATATAATCAAAAGAGTAAGGCAAAAGCAAACAAGGATCGCAAAAGAGAATAAGTAGAAGAGCTTACCCTTGGGTTGAGCTCACTAGAAGATACCAAAAGAGGAGGATCTCCAGAAGAGATCCTTCCCCTGTGGTAGCCAGCTCTTAAATAGGTCCAGGAGGGGTGGAGCCTGGCTCCACCCCTTCCGGCAGCACAGGTGAATTGCCTTCACCTGTGCTCCTCTGGCTGACTCATGGCTCGCCTCAGGTGATCAATCAGAGGTTCAGGCCGTGACTCAGCAGTTCCCATACAGGGGCATACTTTTTTCCATTGAAGACTTTATCCAGTTTCCAAATATCAAGCAGATTTCAGGTCTGATTTATCCTGCCACATTCTGGTGCAAACTCTGCAAGCCCATGAAGAGTCATCACCTTCTAAGCAGCAACTCTGACTCTGAACTTGCAACAACTGGTTGCTGCCAACACACCTGCAGTATGTGAAGGATACACAAGTGCAGACTGGGTTGTTTTGCCTTACCCAATGGTTGAAGTTCTTTGTGGTTGTGAAGCCATTTTGCTTTGTGAAGATTTTGGTGAGATTCTGAGTCGTGCAGTGTGGAGCCAGGAGTTGGACTTGATGATTCTTGTGGATCCCTTCCAAATGGAGGTGATGCAGAAAGACACGTTCTTTCCTGGTACTGGTAATGGGCTGGAAAAAGGGTGAATGGAATGTTAGTAATACTGAAACTGGCCATCACATGGCTACTTTTCAAAACTCATTGGTATGAAGTGCTCACTATTTTTTTCACAGATGTCATTTAACTTCAGTTTTCTCCTGAATAGCGTATCTCAAAATTGAGACAAATGTTTAATATCTCGAGGCATATCTCATAGACAAAGTGTGTAAAGCTAAAGGAGCATGGTTAGTGGGTATGGTGGTGATGGGTTGATGATTGGACTAGATGATCTTAGCAGCCTTTTTCAGCCTTAATGATTCTATGATTCTATCAAAGCTCAGTGTACCTGAGTAAAGTTTGGTTTGTTAACATTTAGTATAGCTGATTGGAATAAAAGGCAGAGAGAAAATGAGGCTTCAGTAGCTTTGGTCTTCAGATTTATTATTTTTTATTTGCTATAAACCAGAATAAAATGCAGAATAGGATTTCACATACTGAAAGTATCATTCTATGAGCTCTCTTTGCACTGAGGAGCTTTAAGCCATTCTAAATGTTGTTTTTTTCCCTTTAAAATAGCTTTTCAACTGCTTCAATGCACAGACATGAGTTTCAAATGTATTTCACTCACTCATTAAACAGAAGAAAAAGGACAACAAATGTCAAAGCGAAAATGTGCAGAGATGGGGAGATGATTCAGCCTTACTAATAGCTATTTACCATGGCGTTTGCTTTATAAGTTGCAGATGTAACTTCTAGCAAAGTGGGATTGTTTCGGGGTGTTTGCATTTTCTCCTCCCTGCCCTTGTGCCTCTTCTGGGGGCAGGGAACTGGGACTAGATGATCTTGGTGGTCCCTTCCAACCCAAGCCATTCTATGATAAGCTTCTCTAAATGTCTGTTTGTTGGGGAAGGATGGCCATCAGCTCTATGCACAGCATTGAAACAGCAGAGCATGAGCTTCTCTGAGATAGGCATGCTGCAGACACCCACTTATTGTTTAACAGAAACTTAATATTGCACATAGAAAATCTCTCAGATAAATATATACACTCCTGTTCAGCCTGGCATGTCCCTGCTGCACTGGGGGGTCTGTGGGGTGTGTGACTTCTGATAGTGCCCTGAAGGTGCTGGGGAAGTGTAAGGGATTCTTTCTCTATTTCTAAGCAATTATTGCACTGTAGGATGAGGATATATGACAACTACGCAAAGCCTACGCTTTTGTCTTTACTTATGTGAAATTCCTGCACTGTATTCTGCTGTCTCCTGAACAGCAGCTGATAATGGGGTCCATTCTGCAGCCCTGCAGAGCTTTAGCCCCAGGCAAGAAGAGTTCTGGGCCAGAAATATCGAAACTTGCATACCTACAGGGAAAAGTGCTCCCATTGATTTTTTTTTCACTGAGCTGCTATGAAGATCTTAGAATATCAGCAAACCTCTTCTGAAATCATCATCCCAGTCCTAGTAGCACACATACAATTGACACTTGTTCTGAAACCAAACAGAAAGGAGATGGATGCAAAATCCTTGTTTCTCTGATGGCACTGCTCACAATTTGGAGTTGCTGGAGTTTTTAGGCTGCTGTGAGAAACCTGCAGTATCCAGCACTTGCCATGTGAAGGACTTCAGTGTAAATTCAGACAGTGTTGGACACATTTCAATCAATTATAGGAGCTCAATCTTTTTTTTCCAATTCCCAATGGCTGCAGGTGAGGGAGGACAACTGCAACCAAGGCAGAAGTTTTGCTGCCTTTGCTCTCCTTGCCTCAGCCTTCCCCACTGCTGCTGCATGTGACGTTGGCTATTTTTATCCTCCATAAAGACGGTATCATCAACTCCCTCTGCTGCAGAAGAAGCTGTGATGGATAATTTAATAGCAAACGTTTAGATGGTTAGTGATGCAGGGAGGCTTTTTAAAGTCAGAGGGAAGCTGAAGAGGCGAAGGCTGCGCTGCACTTCTGAAATCTCAAGAAGGAAAATTACAACAACGAAAACTGATGTAGACAAAACTCTTGCTAAGGTGTAAGATGCTGAAAGAGCCTGGGGGTCCATGGGGTACAGAGAGGCTCAGTCCCTGGGCATGGGCAGTGATGGTCACAGCACTACGGACACAAAGTCGGTGAGGAGCAATCTCCTGCGTGGCTCACAGGAAGAGGGCTGTTCATCCATTATACCCCCACCCAACATCACCCAGAAAAACAGACTGGCTGCTCATGCCACCAAACCACAAGGCAGCTATTCGGGTCAGCAATGAGGCAATCAAGACAAGCCAGAGGTTTGTCTGTCTTCAATTGCACTCGCTACTGTTGGATGAAAAAAAAAAAGTACTCAACAGTTTTCTTCGGTGGAGGAAAGATACAATTTGAAGAATCTCTCTTGACATTAGGAATCACCTGTTTTTCTATCTTAATAAAACCCTTGTGTTGCTGGAGGAAGGGTGCGCCTTCCTTGGAGCAAAACCCATGTTGTAACAGACATCATTATCCTTAATGTCTTCTGTTGACTGGAAGATACCACCATGCTGAGCTGTGCACACAGGAAGGCACTACTACTACAGTGGTATAATTCCCCTAGAGCGGGCACAGATGTGTTGTTATAAATACATCTGTATTGGGATAGCTATTCCCGAGCAGAAATGGAGTGACTCTTCCAGTCATGGAATGACATGCATGCCAATTATACCAGTATAATCTATGCAGTAGGAGAGGTAGTAATGTAACTTCATAAAGTAGTTAAGGAGAAATTTACCAGCTACCGTGTTGAATACTTATTGGTGAGCAAATAAGCTCGGGTCTGTTGTTAAATCTCTCCTATGTAGCAGACACAGTAGGACCCATATGGATAGCAGTACTAAGTGTTAATGGACATTAACACTCTGACTCCTGCAAATGGCAATAAAATCCACGCCTTGGTAAAAATAATGATGGCAGCACAAAGCCTGAGCATAAGCCCATGTCCTGTGTGAACAGCCACGCTGAAAGGAAGCAGGTTTGCATCTTCCCTCAGCAGGGAAAAGGTGAACCCCACGTCAAAACCCTCCTGGTTTTGAGATTTCAGTCCTTGGCAGGGGTTTGGCATCAGGGGGAGGCTGCAATTCCCTTTCCTTGGTGGGACCAGCCTCAGGGCCAGGGCAGACTCACCCCCTTTCTCTTGGATGTGCTGAGGGATCAGTGAGACACAAGCATTAGTGTCGAGTGGCAGCTTTCACGCTCTTCTTTCGTTTATCACTCTCAGCTTACATTTATATACATACCACAGTCTTGAGGAGTACAGGATTCAGCCTTTGCTAATATTTTGCTAGAGCCCAGCATCAGGACTTCTGTTTGGTCTGGCAGGGCTCATTTCAAAGATGTCTGGTCCCCACAGGGGGCAGCTGGCTTTCTCTCTTTCTTCATTTCAACCTGCCAGCTGTCTTCTCATTTCTGACTTTTAGACTTGCTTTTGTTCCCAGGCAGAAATATCTGTGCAGGGCAATGCTGAGCTGATTTGGTGGCAAGCCGAGTGATTTTTCAATGACATAATATCAGCCCATTTTAATCCCTGCAAAACTTCACTCTCCTATAAACTGGATACATTTAATTTATTGGCAGCATCAATAAAATAAATGGAAGAAGAGGTTAAAAGAAGAATTCCCATGTCTTTCCTGCTTTCTTAGGAAGAGCAGCTCTGGAAAGTGGACACAGGATGCAGAGATATGCTTTGCTCTGCATCTCCTTGGTGACTTTTCCAAGCTTGCAGAGATGTTCCTCAGTACTTGTTATTTCTGTTCCTAGCTGAGCCACAGACATCACTACAAAGAGAAAGATGCCACCATTTTCTGAGAGCTGCTGACGAGGCGAAGAAGAAGCCATGATGTGCAATCAAGCTTTGTGTTTCTTAAACCAACAGGGAATGCTATGATGACTCCAGTGGCCTTGGCAGTTCAACAACACCAAGTTTTTTTCCCAGGATGAATGTAAACGAAAAAAAGCATTCTTTCTGGTTTAACACACCCCTCTGAGAGCCATCTCAGTCTCTGCTTCTCCAGGGTGCCAATCACAGTTGTGCGAGAAACTCTCCTCTTGCTTCCAGCCGCTTCTTGGTGGTGTGGGTGGAATTGCTGTTCTGTAGGTAAGGGTGCCCCAGGGCTCCATTTTGTGAATCACGCTACAACAGCCACCTCTTATCTGCCAATCAAGGAATTATCTGACAAGTCACTTTACAACCTACCATCCAGTACTTTACAATCTACTGTAGGGTAGACTTTTTGCCAAGATAGTTCGTGGTTTATTCTGAATAAATGCATGCTAATCTCATTTAATCTAGGATGTATGCACTTCCCAAAACTTCCTGCCCTCTCCCTGTGCTCTGTTTACAAAAATTGCAGCTCTTCCTCCTGCTGCTTGGATGCCGACAGGGCTCTGGTATGCTCTGTGTGCATTTGTTGCATTCTTATATCTTTTCTTTTCCTTCTTTAACTGAAAGTCAATACCAGCTTCTCTTCAAGGCAAGGGCAAGGCTGTGATGGATTTCAGCAGGTGAAAGGCTGGGCCTTTAGCTACTATGGTCACGTACCAGAAATGAGAACAGAATCACTTCCATGGGACGAGGGCACCTTTGAAATCCATTATCCACCATAAACCCTGTTGGTCCCACAGCACAGCTGCAGGCACAGCAGTCACACGAAGGCAGCTCAAGTTACCAGAAATTAGATGAGTTACCAGGCCTACCCTGAGCACGGCTGAACGGTTGGAGAGACTTTCAGCATCAGCCCTGGCAATGCTGGAAAGAGAATCATGCTAAAAATTATACTGTGCCAAGAGAACTTGCTTAGCCCCAGCAAGGTAGATGACTGCGTAAGAGGCTTTGGTTACCACAAATACAATGATACTGGAGTGCAGTTTTGTGTCCTGACTGGCTGGGAAAATGTTGTGAGTGTGTTAACGGTAGCATTTAGATGGCCCCAGCTCCCTAGTGCTGCTCCCAAGCTGCGGGAGGCCCTGGCTGGTGCCAGGAGACAGACCCAGTGACCCTTGTGGGCCCCTTCCAACTGGGGATATTCTGTAATTCTGCGATTCCCCACAGTGCCTCTCGCACTGCCATGCAGGACCATTGCTCCCCAGCATCGTGCTTGAGCATTCAACCCAGTGCACCTCACTTGTGCCCAGGTGGTACTTCAGAGACCTGTACTTCACATCACTGACTGAAATTACCCACTTCACTTGGGCTTGTCCCATTAGCATAGGCAGCTGTGCCCCATCAGTCCCACCTGCTGCACTGTGGGGTAAACCCTGCTGACAAAGGCTGGGCTGCAGCTGCTGCTGCTCAGATGCCCCCAGGTCTCAGGTATCACCCAGGGATTTCCGTTAAAGAGGAATTAAATTCCTTGTCACTCCTTCATCCCTTTTGTTCTGCTGTCTCTTCTTCCTCCCGACGTTTTGAGGAAGGTTCTATGTTATGGGAGACTCGTGGGACATCAAGGAGACAAATACACCGAGCAGCCCAGAATTTCATGAAATTGTCCTTATTTGGCAGATGACACCGACCAGGAGGGACTGTGAATGAAACGTGTGGGGATCGTGAAGCCACAGCAGGGGGCAGTGCTATATGGTAAATCCCTGTATAGGCTGTCAGACATTTTGAGCATGGGAATCCTGAAATTACAGAGCCAGAGGCTGCAACCTGGAGTTTGCTTAATATCCCTCTTGCTCCCTAGCCAAGAAGCAGCAGTTGAACTATGAGGATTGGTGCACAACTGACACTGTAAAACTTTCCAACTGAGATGTGTGCTCAATCATGAGGTCGAAGAAAATTATCAAGAGATGTGTTAGGGTTTGAGTCCATGCATATATTTTCCCAGATGATTTGTGGTCTCCTTTAGCATGAAATACCTTTGACTCTATAGTTTGGAGACTCAAACTACCACAGCAACACCATAGCACTGTGCAGAGGGAACCCTCAGTGCCTTCCTCAGCCAACATGGGGAGGACTCCATGCGGGGCTGCTTCAGTTAAAACTCAAAACTGCCAGCCCTTTTACTGAAAATATACTTTTCCTGTATTTACTACAGACCACATCCTGCCCCAAGTCCATCCAAACAGGACAGCACTGTGTAAATAAGCAGAGGGCTGTGAGGCCCGAGCTGTCAGCTCTTGTTGACTGTAGGTTTCAACCCTGTCCCACAGCGCTGCAGGAGCTCCAGGTGGCCTCTGTGAGGCAAGCAAACCAAAGACTGTTGCTGGTTAAGGTAAAAAGTTTCTGCTTCACCTGTTGTAGGTTCGGTTGCCTTTATTCCAGGAAGGTGAGCAGGAGGCAGCAAAGAGCTCTCCATCTCCCTAGCAAAGAGCTCATTCTCCTCTTACCAGCCCAGAGCTTGCAAAGATCTCAAAAGCGCCCTTCCAAAATCTCCTCTAAGAGCCAAGATAGTGATAAGGTTTTGACATTTATTTTCTTATGCTTGTAATATATGCCAGAGCAAGATTTCTCTCACTGTTCTCTTCCTGGATGGACTCTGGGACCACTGCCCTCCCATCCAGGAGACCTCTGTGGAGACTGCTGCAGTACAGGGTACAGTTGGGTTTAGAAAGGATTCCACCAGATCCCAAAAGCTCTGTAGGTGCCTGAAGCCACCACGAGAGGCACAGTGGAGCTGTGCAGCCCAGGGGACCTTTGCCCATCAGGGGACACCAGCCTGGCTCTGGACTGGGCTTTCTGTTTTTTGCCTGTTCTGATCTCTTGCTCTCCAGCTTATCCTCTCATCCATTTCTCCTCCCCACATGACGTGCTTCTCCAGCTTACCCAAGCATAATGCCAAGTTACAAATTACTTTTCTCAAGTCCTGATTAATCCATTAATGGTTGAAGACTTGGATCCATTTCTCCATTTTCTGTTCCTGGTGTACCTGTCCCCAACGCAGGAGCTATTCCTGCCATGGAGAAGCCAGTGCTGAAGATATAACATAGGATGAGGCAGGGACAAGAGCTGCTGAAGGGCTCCTAAATCCCAGCTCCCAGGATCAGCCTTCCCCTCACAGCTCTCAGCTCTCCCAGCATGGCGTAAGCCCAGCAGCTGCCTTTTGGAGGAGGCCTCACAGCCAGAGAAGGGGCTGGAGCGGAGGTCCTAGGGCTGAAGGTGATGCAGGTAATGGGGCAGTGCCAGAAGGAGATTCAAGGAAGCAAGACTTAAAGAAAGATCCAAACTGTGCTACTGAAATGTAGCCTGGCTCGATTCCCTTGCTCTAAGCTGCTTTCATAAACCTGCACGGTGTCTTTCACAATGCAGAGGACTACTAAGTCACCCCAAAAGTGAGTCCACAGCCTCCCAAAGGACAAGAGCTGCAGACAGGGCTGCAAGGAGGCCAGCTGAGAGTCATCATGAGGCTGGCTGTACGCTCACCAAACACGTACTTAGAGGATGGAACACGTTGCCCCAAGGTTATACAGATTCAAGGAGCGATTAGACAGACTCACTCAAGGAAGGTACTCCTCGGGCTATTAAACACAGATGTCACCCGAGTCCTTGAGCTGTGGGTCACTGGAGGCTGGGTGAGCATGCTGCATGTGCTTTTAGAATATCAGAATATCACAGAATGGCTTAAGTTGAAAGGCACTTCTGAGCCACTGTGGTGGTGTGCTGGAAGCCATGCAGGTCTGGATGGGAATGTCCCACAGGCAAGCTCCTTCCTCACCTTTACCAAACTTTTGCTGCTTATCCAAGAGGTTCTGCAGCCCACCTTCCCTAAATGCAGACTTTCCTTCCCCCATACTCATGCTGACTCTCTCCTCTGGCTGTCACATCTAGCCTTAGGGTTCCTGTGCCTCTCCCTGACTGTGCACCCTCAGAAGAGTGGATCTAGATCCTAGTTCATGTCTCTGTACAGGGGATGGGGCAGCCCTGGGAACCCTCTCACTGCATCACACCAGTCCCCAAGACAAGCTGCACCAGATAGCTTTAAAGCAGTCGTCACCAAATGCTTGTGCAGCATTGCTTGGAGGAAGGGCTTGGGAAGCTCTTGTGCAAAGATGACCTAATTTACAGCTCTCAGTGCTATTCTAGTAGGTTTTGTGTATGTGTGTGTGTGTGTGTGTGTAGCAAAAAAGGAACCTGGCATCTATCCTCATTTAATTCTGCTCTCAGCCTGACTTTGCAATGTCCTAGTGAAAGTACAGCCAAAAGAAACTTTTTTTTTTTTTTTTTTTAAAACAGACAAGGGGAGTAAAAAGCAAGGAAGAATGAGGGAGAAAGAAGATGACAAATAGCAACCAAGGATTTGGGCACTGCAGTCCCAAACAGCTCCATGAATAACATTACCCACTGCAAATCAAGCTGCTGGAATGGCTGCCCTGACCCAATATGCAAATCCACTGAGGGAAGGGCTAGGGCAGCCAGGACTGTTGGTAGCCAGGGCAGCTCCCCACACCGAGCCCAGATGGTGCTTCAGCTGACATGGCTCTGCATACAGTCATTTGTGAATAATGATCTGCTCTTGATGTGGTACGTGGGGAGGCAGTGGGGCCAGGACTGCCTTTTACCAGCTCAGGGTACATTCGTGTGTACTAGATTTCCAAGACAGAGAGGCCCAATACTCAGAACAGCTTTTGCAAGTAGGGTTGCCAGTAATGCATTAAGTTACAGTAGATATTTCACCATCACAGATGCAGCCATGAGCACTTGCCCACGTTCAGCATTCGCAGGTGAGAGCATCTCCTGGCAGCCACCTCACTGGCACCAGGCAGTGCTGCACACGGACCGGCCTTCTGGCCTGGCACAGCAGGGCAAACCTTGACAGGCATGTCCTGGCAGTGAGCATTGCTACCCTCTGAGTCCCACACACCTGCAGTCACGTTGCAGTTGATGTTCTTGCTGTGCCATTTCAGCTTCCCTCCAGGGATCAGCCCCCTCTTCTCACATTGAAGGCTTTCCTTAATTTCCTGCTGGAACACTCCTCTCTGCTTCGTATGGCTCTAGTTTGACTTCCTCCCCTTTGCCGTCCTTGGAGAACCTTGCTGTATTATTTTATATGGTGTTATTGCCTCGCTTTATGGCTCATCCCTCAGGGAACACTGCGGATGAGTCCTTTTGTTCTCGGGTGACATGCCAGTACATATTCTGCACTTTTCATTATTATTTTTAGGGCTACACCCATGTGTGTTATAGAGCCGTGGGTCCTCTAAGCTGCTTCTCTTGCGAATAACACAGAGTACCTCCTCAGCATCAACACCCCTGTAAAATATTTGGCAGCTGAATGTTACTAAGATAGCTCCCTGAGCTGTGATGCATCTTGTCAGTCTCACATGAGATGCCAGGACACTGAACTTGAGCATGAGGTGCTAGCACTTGAATCAAAACTAATTGCTGTAGGACATCAGTGTCTGGAATGAAACCAATAAAGCTGAAGCTAGCAGAGGACAAACTCAGATTGGCAATTTGCTTGGGGGCAGCTCACTGACCTCCCTGCAAACAGAACGGCGGGTTGGTTGGTCCTTCCTCAGCATGAGAAACAATGCAAAACTTTTAAGGACTGAAAATTGACCGCCATACCTCTCTCTGCAGTATGCTCATGACATTGCACAGATTTTGAAGGTTGAGCCATGCAGTGGTTCTCTTGGACTCATCCTACTGAGTTACGTGGTACAAGGTATGGCACGTGTTCATGGCACCTATGGTACCTGTCCATAGCAGCTGTATGTCCTGGCTTACAGCTAGTGGGTAGCTTTGGCACTCCTAACAGAGCCTCTGCCCTTAGGTTTGAAGTGCTTTGATACTGGAGGAAAGTGGGACCACTGATCTCAGCTGTGCAGTCAGTTTAGCTCTATGATCCCGTGCTTTCCTTTAATTCTCATTGCTTTACCCCCCTCCCAGGGACATTCCTGAAATTCTGTGCATGCCACCAAAATACAGACAGGCAGTTTCTGCAAGGCTAAAGACAGGTAGCATCAAATGACTTTAAGAAAACAGTTGAGGAGTTTCAGAGCATGTGCTGTGATAGAAATCTTCTTCACCTGCTGTAGGGAAGAGAATACTTCAGCAGCTGTGCGTATAATTAGCACTTATCAGGCAGTGGGAAGGAAACAAAGGTTTGGTAATTTGAAGAAGAAATGTCCATGGGAAGGTTTTTTTAAAGGTCACATAAATCAGCTTCTGGGCAGCTGGGGAGGGAGGGAGGCACCTGGCAGCACAGCCTAGCATGGCCCAGCCCAGCCAGCTCCAAGCAGGGCCCATGCATGAAGGTCATGCAGGAGAAGGGGCTGGAAAGTTGTGCACGCAAATCAGAAGTGAAGGAACAAGAGTCTGATCCTCTTTCAGATAAAGACTCTGGTGACATTGCTATTTCTTTCACAAACAACACTACTCTTCTTGTGTCCTCACCAGGGCAGCAGATAATAAAAAAAGCATTATCTATTTGATTTGTTGATTTCAGAGTTGTTCTTCAATGCAAGCAGGTCTCTGCACCCTACAAAGCCCCTCGAAGCCAACCAAGCTCAGGCCTGGGGTGCCAAGAGGGCGGCATGCAGCTGCTGCGGGGATGGGGGCAGAGATGGGAACAAGGATGGGCACTGGGAGGAGTTGTGCTGCATCCTTCTGCCAAAGTGCCAGGAGCACCTAAGCCTAAAAGAAAGTCATCGTGAGCTGGCAGAGCGCAATGAGACCAGTGAGACCTGGGCTATTTGCTCAGTACAAACCCTGTGCTCAGCCAATTGTTTGGCTGGTTACAGCTGGACTGCGCTTACCTCAGTCCCACCTGATCTACCAGTTCTGCTCTTGTTGAAAAGGGGCCAGGAAATGTTTTTGTAAGAAAAAAAGTGAAACATGGATATACAAAGCTCTCACTAAAGCTGTGTGAGGCTCTGTTGGACGTATGCAGGTGTACGTTCAGCTTGCACGTTGCTCAGGTAAGTGGCGTGCATTGCATGAACCATCAGCAAGGTCACCCAAGGTAGCTGGATGTGCCCAGACGTGTTGTAAATATTACAGAGCCATACTGCTGCTCTGCAGTCGATGCAGCCCGCAGTTAGAGACTTCTGTACTGTTAATGATTTTGTACAGTGCACTTGCTTCTCCTGGATGAGGAAATTGGTAATATGGCTGCATAGATCACTTACCTGTTAGTATACCTCTCCTGGTGGAAACTGGGAGGGTGAAGCAGTTGCTGATCACATGAGAATGAGAGAGCAAATGCAAACATCTCAGCCAGCATCGCTATCTGGGAAAAAAAAAAGTAATATGCAGGGTTGACACAGAGGCAGATTGTTGGTCACTTAGCTCTGTCCTGATTTGACTAAAGCAATTTACTTCCAGCTTCCTTGGTTCTAGTGACAGGGAAGGACAAATTGCAGCTGTATGTAAAAAAAAAAAAAAATTATTTAACTGTGCTGCAACTCGTGCTGCTTTTTGTTAACTGTTTGGAGGCTGGTGCTCCATCCCAAGGGCTCTGCTGCGCCCTGAAATCCCACAGTAGGAGGGACACCCTTGTCTGTCTGGTAAGCACAAAGCAATCCGTGCTGTCCCCCTACGGACATCCCTGGCTGTTTTTGGGTGCCCAGAGGGATTGTACTTCCCTGAGTACAGCGGGTGCTTTGTTCACACCCAGCCAGCAGCAGCCACGCCGCAGCCCTCAGCCCTGGGATGTGCCCAGCTTGTTGTGTGGAAAATGCCAGAGAGCTCAGAGTTAAGATAAGCAGTGGTGGCTTTTTTAGCAAGGCAAACAACTGCAGTGCCCAGGACAAGCTCTGCCTCTTTCCATGATGAGCAGTGCTCAGGCGTGCCAGGCATTTTTTCCCTTTCTGAAACAGAACCTCCTCTCCAGAAGCAAAATTAGAAAAGAAGAAGGAAAGCGTGAATTTTGTGATTTAAAATTCCACCTTAGAAGCATTTGCCATCTCAGGCCCTGCCATTAACACCAGAGTTTGGGCTCTCTGCAGCATGAAGCCTTGAGCTGGAGAGCTGAGCCCCTCACTCCTGCCTTCTGCCAACAGCTGGATGGCTGATCCTGGAGCCGTCCTGCTCTCTTCCTTCAGTTCTTGACTCCATGGCCTTGTGAGGACAGCTCGAGTGCTGTGACATTTTTGTGTATACCTAATGTTGATCGGTATCAGTCCTTATAGAGGGCCCATCAAGCTGGAAGCAATCACAAGAGCTTCAAATCCCTATTCTCCAGCAGCCTTTGGCTGCTCTTCTCATTGTTCATCAATGGATACAATGAAGGCTCTTATGGAGCTTCCAGCCACTCCATGCTGAAGTTGTGGGGCTGTTAAACACCCACTGGCACTGGGCAGCCTGCATCAGCAGTTTGCATCCTGTGGTCCACTCTCACCTCCATTTTAAACATAAAGGCAAAAATGAAATATACCAAAGAGAATGAGAAACATGGAGAAAACCAGAGAAGCTTTACCAAGGTGTTCACTTCTAATGTAGTGTGAACTTTGTGGGCCCTCTTTCCAGTGATACTGTGAAGGATTACAATTTTGCCTGGTTCTGTCTGCCTGCTACCTCCTTTTGGCACGTCCAAGTGAGCAAAGTCCAGACTGATCCTTGTTGGAAAGAACACATGGTCTGCTTCTCAGAAGGATTAAGAATTCAAGAGCCACTGTCAGGTCCTGTAAGTATATGTACGAGGCCCCAAACCCAGCAGCCCTGTGCTGTTGACACTGAAAAAGCTCATTAGATTCTTCAGAGCAGGACACAAAGGGCATCAATCCAGCAGCATCTGCTGTGGTACCATGTCAGGAGGGGTTGTGCCAACAGGTAGAAAGCGCAGTGACCCACACAGGTGGATTAGCATCTATTCGCCCAGCAGGCAATTTCAGCCTGAAGATCTCTGAACATACAGCTCCTTTGCATTGATCTGGTCCAGAGTGCAGCTCAAAAGGGCTCTTGAGAACACCTAGGCAGCAGATGTCATCCACGGGATAGCACAGGCTAGGAGTCCCAAGTCAGCCTGCTCTGAATTCAGATGTCTGAATCACAGTCCCACTTCCCCACTGGGCCAGGAGACTTGGAATCAGATCACAGCAGCATGAATCAGGACTGGAACAACCTCTTCTCCAGACCATCAGGAGACTCTGAATCAGGTTGTGAAACAGCCCTTCCATCCCTGGCATGGAGGGCCTGAGTCAGGGCTGAGCTGACACTTCTGTTCCTGAGCAGAGAGCATGAATGCAGCATGAATGCAGCAGCGAGTGTCCCTGGGAAGAGACCCTCATTGTGTGGCTTGATTACAACTGCATGGGCACTTCAGTTCTCAGCCAGAACTTTTCTATAATAAAGTGGAGATAAGATAGAGAAATATAAAGAGGAGTGTTCTTGAACAGTACTGATGACTGTTTTGAAGAAGGGCACTAAAGACAACACTTTTGATCTTCTCTTGGCAATGCCCTGGTCCTAAATAGTACCTCTAGTAGTCTCATCATTGCCTCTATGCTTAATTCCGGGTAGCACAGTTGGTGCTGATTGTTATTTAGGTTTATTTAGGTTATTCCTGCCTGGAGATGGGAGCACGGTGTGCTATGGTCATGTGGCAGGAGAACCTTGAAAAACACCAGCTAAGAAGGAAAAGAAGGCCGCCTCCTTGCTTTGCAGAGGAAGATCATCCAAAGTCACTGAAGAGCTCATCATGAACAGCTCAGCTTCAGGCTCAGCTGCTTTTATTGTTATTCACGGTTTGTTGTGCCAATATGGGCTTCCTCCCTTTCCATCATGGAAGAAGGGCTGCCTTCCTCAGCTTTGTCCTTTTTTTTGTCCATTCACATCATGCATCACTTCACTGTTTTCAAAGCTGTGGGAGCAATTAGCACAGACTGCATGCGCTCTCCTACACTCCTTGTCTTTATTATTGTCCATGACACTAACAGTGGTCTCTGTCTGGGATCTTAATGCTTTATATGACACTTACTGTCATCTGAAATGTATTTCCTTCCATCCAGGGCCATGGTAGCATCTCTCAGACTTCAGCTGGATCTAGGAGCTCCACAGTGGTGGTTTACTGCAAGAGGAGGTGGAGGCAGAAGGAAAAATTAATGAAAATTGCATGCTAGCTCCACATGTGCTCCCTGTTTTTCGGTTGTGCGTGGGACAGAACAACACAGCCAGCCAGCATTTCACCACTGATGGCTGTGAGATATCTGTAGATTAGTCATGACTGCCCAAAGGTTTTCTTTCCACCTTAGCTGTGAATGAAGCAGCCCAGGTCCTGCTCCCAACCTTCGATGTCACAGCAAAGGATATTGGATTGCAGAGGGAGAGGGAGGTCAAAAAGCAGTGCTACTGTGAGAGAGGACATGTTATGGTTGGAGATGAGGCTGACTAATATCTGGCAGGAATGAGAGGATATTTTGAGCAATCTGTGTAACCTTCTGTTTCCTTTACTTTTTTCCTATACTCTTTTCTCCTTCCATTACTTGCAGCTCTCGTATCACATGTCTACTTGGGATCTGCTCTGGTGCCCCTGAGAATCCCCCTGCTGCCTTAAGAGAGCTTTGGAAGGGGCTTGTACATAACTATCCCTGCAGCCTGTAGGAGAGTGGTCATGGCAGGATTGGGCCAACAGTGGCAATCAGAATACAAGTAGCAAATTCAAAATAAAATAACAACTAAGTGGCAGCTGCACTCCAGAGTTCAACACAAGCCAAAACAGAGTCCTAAAACAAGGAAAACCCAACAGGCCACTTCAGGCTATTAAAATGAAGCACAATCATGATCTGGAGTGAAAATGAGCTGTATTTTCCAGATCCCAAATTCCGGAACCCTTCCAGTTTGAAGTGCCTCCCACACCCCCAGGGAAGCACCCTGCTTGTTTAATAATAGTTGACTTCTAATTTGAATCATTTCTAGAAGGTGTGTCCATAAGCAAAACATCATTCTACAACCTTAATTTTCCTAGTTTTTCCATATAGGTCAACTCAGGATCTTAGTTTTGAACTTACAGAAAGGCTCCTAAAAGCCATCCTTCCTACAGACTGCCATTACATCTAATTGCTATCACCAGCAGCAAGAAATTGTTATGGTAAGGAAAGCAAGTGGAAACACTCGTGGACAGAAACAGCATCCCAGGCAGAATCCAAAGAAAAGAAAAACTCTTCTTGTGGCCTCGAATGCTTAAAAATTAAAACTCATGTGCATAAGATATTGTTTTCAGTTTTACTGGGCTAAAGTGTAGAAGCTGGGATGTAATTAATGTAGTGATTATTGAGATGCCCCTGGGGTAGTGCAGCTGTCACACAACCCCATTCCACATAGCTGATGCCTTTTAATTGTGAGACACCAGTAGTTAGCTTTTGGAGCTGCCTAAGTACAGGGCCCAAGCCTAGAAGCACTTGCAGTTGGCACAATGCTCCTCGCCCCTTTGCTGGGCTGGGCAGCACCGTTCTGTGCCCATGCTGCTTCTCATCCATGTTAGTGGCACAGGAACACCAGCCCAGGCCCCAGAACGTGTGGCGGCCCATGTGCTGCTTCAGGTGGGATTGCTGGAGGAGCAGAGCAGCAGCCCAAGGCAACCACGTACATGAGCTCCATAGCCAGCTTTACAAACTCATGCTGTTTTCCACCACTTTTCCAATTACCATCCTTTTTCCTCATAAGTTATTGATTGTGTCACCAGCAAAACTGACAGCCCTAGTTCAGCTGCCATGTAAAGAGGCTTTTGGTACCTCAAGTTAAGCAATGAGCTCCAACAGAAGGCAACTTTCCAGCCTGGACAATGCCTTTATGTTTAACTGCAGCAGGGAATGCTCTGGTCCAATTCTTGCTTTTGTTTTGCTGTATTCTTGTAGCATTGCCCAAGTGCTAAGTGGTTCTCAGAAGAATAATCTCTCCAGTTTCCAAACCGATGGCTCTGGGGAGCACACTGGCATGGACTCCTCTAGGCCTGGGAGGGCCTAAAGAGCAATGGGAGGAGAGGATATTGGCAATTGGGATCTGGGGCTGTGGGGTGTGAAGCTGACGCAAATCAGCACACATGTGCCATCAACAGTGCTGTGGGAAGGAAACACGGGTTTATCTTCCCCCTGTTGCTTGAGACAACACTTCCGCTTGCAGCCCGAGCTCCGGTTCACGACGTGTATTGATTGCTCCTCTGGTTTACTACGTGCTGCCCAGGGAGCAAATAACACCCTTTGAAATTAGCAGCTTGAAATATGGCAAGGCAGGACTTGGCAGGTAGTGATTAAGCAGCTCCCTGAGCAGGAGGAGGGCAGGAAACAAATGGCA